CACTTCTTGGACGTAATTAATACCCAAAGCAATGCGATTGTGTTTGCATTTCATCAGATCAATGACACAATGAGTGGTGTCTTGAGATTAGGACAATATCTGGTGGGAAGTGCTCCGCGGGTCACACGCCTATTGACTCGCGAACCATGCGTTCAACGGTTGTCTCGATGCCAGCAATCGGTGGCCACCGCTCACCGACCCGTCGTCAACATCCCGGAGACCAAAGTGTCGACCCTTAGGAACGGCATCCGAGTGGCCACCGAGGACTCCGGTATCCCCACGTGTACTGTCGGCTTCTGGATAGACGCTGGCAGTCGATACGAGACCCCCGAGACCAATGGTGTCGCCCACTTCCTCGAGCACATGGCCTTCAAGGGCACGACCAACAGGTCTCAGACGCAACTGGAACTGGAGATCGAGAATATGGGCGCACATCTGAACGCATATACTTCACGGGAACAGACCGTATATTACGCCAAATGTCTGTCCAAAGACATACCCAACGCCATGGAGATATTGGCGGACATTCTTCAGCACTCAAAGTTCGGAACCGATGAGATAGAGAGGGAACGGTCGGTGATTCTGCGAGAGATGCAAGAAGTGGAGACCAATCTTCAGGAGGTGGTCTTCGATCACTTGCATTCAGTGGCCTATCAGTCGACGCCATTGGGAATGACTATATTGGGTCCCACGGAGAACATCAAGAAGATTCAGCGCCAGGACCTCATCGACTACATCAGTGGCCACTATAGAGGACCGCGACTGGTATTGGCCGCCGCTGGCGGTGTCGATCACCAGCAGTTGGTAGACCTCTGTAATCACTACTTCGGGAATATCAAGGGAGTGGTGGACGAGTCGAATCTGAAGGCGTGTCCGTTCGTGGGCTCCGACATCCGCGTCAAAGACGACTCCATGCCTTTGGCTCACGTGGCCATCGCTGTGGAGACAATCGGATGGGCCAACCCGGACAACATCGCCCTAATGGTGGCCAACACACTGATCGGGTCGTGGGATCGGTCGCAGGGCTCGGGCTCTAACTGTTCGTCATATATGGCGCTGTCATCGGCTGAGCACAACCTCTGCCACACTTTCCAAGCGTTCAACACCTGCTATAAAGATACCGGTCTTTGGGGCGTCTATTTTGTGGCCGAAAAGCAAACTCTCGAAGAGTTTGTCTGGCATTTGGGTAACCAATGGATGCAATTGTGTAATGATGTGACCGATGAGGACGTGTCCAGAGCTAAGGACCTGTTGAAGACGAATATGTTGTTACAGTTGGACGGCTCGACCCCTATTTGCGAAGACATCGGCCGCCAAATGTTGTGTTACGGGCGACGCATACCTCTGCCCGAAATGGAGGCCCGAATAGAGGCCGTCAACGCAGATATCGTGCGAAGGGTTTGCAAGAAATACATTATCGGGAGGAGTCCTGT